TAGTGAGCTCTAAGGTCAAGGGATGCCTGGTTCTGTATTTCCTAAGTAGCCTGTTCACTGTGATGCCCTAACAGCATCAACTCTATTGCGGCACAGAGAGACACTCTCACACGTGCAGAGGCCAGAAACAAATTGCTTGCTTTAAAACCTAGGCAACTGATAACAAACGCAGACAAAGGAAAGTATCTGGGTATCAGTAAAGTATTTTCTTCTTCTGTTTCTTTATATTACTGTTTTAAGCCCCTGATGAGTAATTACTATTGCATATAAATTAGTCCAGCATTGCAGAGAGAACACAATATTTGATAAGTGGTTGCAAGGAATGAGAACTATCTCTCAATAACTGCAAAAGGAAGGCCAAGAGTTAGGTGACAATTAAGTTTCTACTAACAGTGATTCTCTGTGTTCCCTGGCTGTCGTGGAACTTGTTCTGTAGATCAAGTTGGCCTCAAACTCACTGAGATCCACCTGTCTCTGGCTCCTGAGTGCTGGGATTGAAGGCGTGCGCCACCAGTGTCTGGCTTATCATTCTTTAGAAGTCTTTCTTGGCATTCTTAGGAGTGCAGGAAGACAAAAGCTCACTAACAGCGAGACCAGAGTTGTAAGTAATTGCTTGGCCTTTGTCCCTCAATTTGAGATCTGTGTTCCTGGACTATATTGTTGCACAGATTCTTAAATTTCACAGAGTGGAGATGAGAAAGCATTGAAGGCTGATGGTGAAAGCAATACCTCTCAAGTTGTTCTAGTCCTTCAGTGGGAAAGGGATCATTTTCTATGCTACAGGCCTACAGGGTTTTTAAACACGCTATTTTAGGGTGTATCAGACAAGGTCGCATAAAGCCTACTGTGAAATGCTCAGCGACTAAAGAGCTTCTTACCCGTTCTATGTTATGGAATTTCATGCTCAAGAATGTCTTTGAAATAGTAGTTTTCTATGCAAGTGCTTAAAACGGTCTCTCGGGTCTATCTGTGTAAAAGGTAACCATCTTACAGTCTTGTATTATCAAAGAAAATCTGTGTTTGTTTGGTGTGCACAATAAATGTTTATCTTCTAATTTTAAATATGTTTTAATCTAACATCATTTCCCCCAAACAAAAAAAGGAGTACAAAGCCAGGCAGTGGTGGCGCACGCCTTTAATCCCAGCACTCAGGAGGCAGAGGCAGGCGGATCTCTGGGAGTTCGAGGCCAGCCTGGTCTACACGAGCTAGTTCTGGGACAGGCACCAAAGCTATAGAGAAACCCTGTTTCGAAAAAAAAAAATCCAAAAAAACCTCCCAAAAAAACAAAACCAAACAAACAAACAAAAAAGGAGTATATACGATTTACATCGAAGACTCCACTTTGTAGGTTTTGAGAAGTCATTTGTGTACCAACGTTTCAATGTATTCTGCAACCCTCATCCATCAACTGACTGAACACAGTTTCTCTGCAGCTAGCGCTAGTTTGCAAGTTGATAGTAGCAGCTGCCACAGTGGAAGTTCCAGGTTCATCATCTGATTTGTTCTGGCTGCCGCCAGGGATACAGGATTTTCAAATTACTCAGTTGCTTGGGATTACATTAAAAATAGCAGATCTACAAAGGGACACACAAATGTCTCTATCTTGCCTGAGTTGTTTCCATTTATTCTGTTAAAGGGTGTATGTTATTGAACATGGCTTTCCTCAAACAGGGGCCATACCTAGCTTCTACTCTACCACATGTTTACACCAAAGCCAGAGTGATGACGGGCTCAAATTAACAACAGAATGCTACTAAAAGGGGTTCCATATGCAAACTTTTCCCTGCAAAAGTTTTTAAATTAATGTAAACACTTATTCTTTTAAAGAAAATAATTTTGCACATAGGTGCCATCCAGAAGCTTGAATGGGACAAACTGTGTGTTCTTACAAAGAAACAGATGGCTAAGCGCCTCTGCGGACCTTCAGTGCCTCAAATGGGGACCGTCTCCTGCTGTTCCTGATAGTTACATCAGGATAGAAACGACCTTCATGTTCCTCCGGGGTACTGTCTAGCTTAGGGTGCTCACACATCACTGATCCACTCTGTCTGATCACCAAGGAGATGCGGTCTATGCTTTATCCTGGAAGATGCCTCAGGCTGCTAGGATACAGGTCAAGTCCATGGCTACACTGTTAAACCAATGCTTCTAAAGCAGGCTCAGTTTGGTCTAATAGACTTCTAACTTTTAAAGAACATGAAACTTCCTTTTAAAAAAAAAGTTTTTCATTTTCCCTATATCTTAGTAATAATCTCGAGAGCTGCTTCTCTAAAGGGCTCTAAGTGAAACTTGCCACAGACGGGCTAAAGAGTGAGTCTGGAACAGACTCCACATCCACAGGGCTTCAGAAGTGGATGGGATAGCATTGGGGTTTCCACTCCCTCGATTGAGTAGAACACCTCACCTTAGCCGTGAACTGCCTTTCTTCTGACACAATCCAGACACCAACTGAATCCTCAGTTTCTACCCTTTTCAATTGAGTCTTGACAACGCCAAGATTGTGAGAACCAGCAGTGAGTTGACTCTGGCTTTACTGACAGCTGGCAGCACACCACAGTTGATATTTATATTTTGAGTGAGTACATAATAACTACAGGAAAACAGAATGGAAGTTCTATACAGTTTACATAGACAGCAGAAATGGCACAGAAGAGAGGTACAGGGTTTGATGAGTAGGTATGTGGGAGTGAGGGGCCGTTGGTGTTTGCCAGAGAAAAGCTTTTACACAACAGTGTTTGACAGACTGCCAACTTCCTCAGTGAATTTTACCACTGCCTTTACGAACACCATAACACTGCCCACCTTGGGAGTATCTATCTGTGTAGAAAATGGAATCGGCACTTCTGACTAATTCGTATAACACATGTGAGACTAACATTGCACATTTCGGTAAATATTAGCAAGAACATATTCTGCTCTCTGATTTCCAATGCCATAGCAAAACAGGAGAAAGAAAACCAGGAGAATTATCTCATGGCACACTAAGACAGATAAAGGAGAAATGAAGGAGGCATTTGAGATGAACCTAGGTAAGATCGCCATTACTTCTACTTTTCATTAAAATATAACTAACCATAGGGGAGTTCATATTTCTGTTTTTTTAAATCAACGGATTTTGTTTTAGATATTAAATTTCACATCAAACTGGCATCCAGTTACCCAGGAGATCTCACCTATAAAGGATTGTTTTAAGTTAGGACAGCTGAAGGGGATTAAAGGGAAGAAATTATGAAGTAACTATTAAGGGCCAGCAATGGCTCAGTGGGTAAAGGCCCTTGCCACCAAGCCCGAGCTTGATTCCTGGGACTCACAAGGTGCTGGGAAGAGAGACCCAATACACAAATGATTCTCTCTGACCTCCACATGCACGCCTTGCATAAACGCACGCACACACACACACACACACACACACGGTAATTAAATCTAGAAAAAAAAAACTTAAAAGCAACTTTTGTTCTTAAATTTAAAAAGCCTTTACCTTCTCAAGCATACTTTATTCTACACACCGAGATCCACACATGAGCTTCCGTCAGTTGTCCAGCCTGACTAAAGGCGTTAGTACTAGCAGCCAAGGCAATTTCAGCCTACAAGTATAAATATGACTGCGAAGGACTCTATGAAGTTCACTCTAATTTAAAAATATGAAACTTTTTTTTAGGCTTTTTAGGCGAGATTGCATTTTTATAAGCATGATTGTGCTACCTTACGTTTGCTACTATTAATATAAATCTTACATGGCAGAAGAACATATTTATTCCTATATTTCACTCACACATACTTGGAAATTTTAGTGAAGAATTACATCACTGCGCTTTTATATAAACTAATCCAAGTCCTGAAGACGTATCCCTCAGTGAGAACTGTTTGAAAAGCAGACGTTCACTCAGTCATTCTGAAATGGTCCTGAGATTTTATTAGATGACTTCCTGTTTAATCTACCCACAGTAAAAGCATCTCTGTTTAACTTCAGGCATATTTACTCCGGTCTTCTTAAACCAAGGAGTGAGCCAGCAAAGGGGTTCCACTGGCAAGGCTGCGTTTTTGAAACTCAGCTTACTGGTGCAGTGCTAGGCCTTCCTAAATTCTAACCCATCTTAGTCCCTTTTTTATGTCCTCCCCAGATCTTCCGAACTGACAGAAGGCTCTCCTTGTCATTTCGCTGAGAGGTTTGCATAAACGATGAAGGCTCGGGGCTCTCTCCGAGGCTGACAAATTCAGGCCCTATTTTCAACTCGGCTTGTCACTCTGTAATTGCAGCAAATGCAACCGAAAGCACTTTTCCTTGAAGGCCATTTGACAGAGGGGATGAAAACACATTTACTCTTTCAAGGCTTGTGTGTTTTCCTGGGAGAGGCCTGCCTCTAAGATTTGCCCTTTCTTCCTTAGAGAGCTATTTGGGAAATATGTCTGGGCAGAGGCACAATGCAGAGCCTTCTCCCTGCATCCTCCTCCTCCTCCTCCTCCTCCTCCTCCTCCTCCTCCTCCTCCTCTTCCTCCTCCTCCTCCTCTTCCTCCTCCTCTCTTTTCCTAACTTCTGAACCCTTCTCTGTTGGGAGCCTTTCTTTCTTCAGGATGAGATGGGAAATCTACAAGTGCCAATGAAAACACTGAGTTCCCTTCCTTCTTGCAACCTGAAAAATTGCTTCACAAATCTTTGCCCTGGTTAAGTTACTACAAATAAAACCAATACCCTGAGTGATTATTCTTTCAGTACCATCCTTTGGTAACTCTTTCTTTTCAAGAAATTCAAATTCAGTAAAATAAGCTGGTTTGGATACAATTGGCTTGCATATTCTGGGGAGGAAGTCCCCTGGAAAACACAAGGAAGTCTTTCTTTGCAGGATTTAACAAATGGGAAAATTGCAAATAAAGTTTTGAAGTTGCCAAAAGCTGTTTCAAGCTCTCTAAGTCATCAAACCTTCTGAACCCACGCAACCATCAAATACCACAATCGCTTTGCGGTCTTAGGTGGCTCCTGGACCGGTTGAGTGTGACTTACCTATGAAGAGATTCCACTCAGTGTCCAAATCCGCCTGGTTGGCTAGACAGCCCTTCATGACGTTGAGACAGTAGTTGTTGCAAGGTCTCACGGTAGGCAAGCCTCGGCAGTATGGGCAGTACAGCATCTTCATGAGAGCCCGGATGCACCCGGGGGTGGGGCTCACCTGTAAGTGTATAAGATAGGAGAAAAAAAAATCAGAATCAAAGAGAGGAAGGGGAGGGGAAGAAGTCATGCTCTCCTCAGTCATAGGAGACAAAGTCAGAGCCGCTCCGCTGAGCCTTTGGCAGTCACAGGCTTGAAGAAGCTGGGAGGAGCGGAGTTTTGATATTAAGTTTTGATATGCAACTGGTAAATTTTTATTAGATGCTTGTGCTCAGTAAAGTAATCATTTCCTGAAAGGCTCCTGCCTGCATTCTGCTTTCTTTCTGGCATTCCAATTCAACCTCAAACATGGATGCTGTTTCATTGTGGCAGAGTGTGAGTTGGCAGAACCATGGACAGACAAACTTGAAAGGCAGAGATCCATACAGACCGAGTCGCTATTAGAGTTGCATGTGACACCTTTAGCAAAGCCTTCATCTGGTCACTCGGTTCCTTTACTAACAGAGCTGGAGGACCCCCTTGCTGTGTTCCAACTACCATAAACGCTCGGCATCACCTGAGTGATCCAGGCTAGCACAGAAGCCATGGACCTAGTCAAACAGTGTCGTCAGGCATCTGAGGACACAGGACTCTAGAAAAGTCACTGAAAATGGATCCAGCTTGGAATGCAAGCAGCAATTCTTCCAGGGATTCAGAGTCATCACTAACCTACTGACAGTGAAGTACTACTTGTCCAGACCAGGGAATGCAGTCACCCAAATCAATCCTAAAACAGTAAAACTCGGGGACCAACCAAAGAATGAAAGAGCTAGAAGACCGAGGAAGGCAGTAAAACTCTTCATCTTGGAAAGACTCAGCCACAGGGGTGGAACTCACAGCAGCAGCCTTGGCACTGGCTCTGCAGAAGAAAGGGCCTTTGGATAGTTTTGTCGGCAGGAGCAGGGCCTGGGGGGGACCCATCCCCCACTCTTGAACTGTTTCCTACTGACAGGTTAAGTGAGAGAATAATTCATCGTCTTCAGTTGTGCACCCACCAGTGACCCCACCATGTTCCCGTGGGTAATCCCAATCCAGTGCTTACAAAGATGGCCATGGCCAAACTAAATCAGATCACAAAAGTAAAAATCAGATGTCGTGTATCTGGGAAGGAGACTGGTGAGTACGAGGGGTGGTGGCCATAAGGGTAGGAGAGAGATAGGAGTAGATGAGGGGATGGGCACATGAGTGCAAAGTATAATCAGAACACACACACACACACATATGATATAGATTGCATACATATATAATTATCAAAAAAATTAACCAAAAAAAGAAAAGTACATAATGGTATGTGATCATTAACAGAAGAAGAAAGTTATAAGTTGATGTCAAGAGGAAAACATCTTTAAGACTGCTAGCTCCTTGGCCAGTCTTGGGGGCAGCAGCAGTTACGCCATTACCTGCAGCATAAATTCACAACAGAAAGCTGTTTCAATGGCTAGAGGTAAAATTCTTGTGTAGTTGTTTGGCTGGCTGGTGTTCACACATTTTTGATGTAGTCGAGTATGTAGCTAGCTGCTGACTGGTTTGTAATGGGGACTAGGGATGGGGACCAAAAAATACTCAACTACAAGCCTCCCCTTGTGCAAGGGCTTCTGGATCCTTCCCACTCTTCTCCCCTTGTTCACTCCTTTCCTCCTCATTATGTTTCTCCTGTCTTTTAAATGATTAACTTAACTGGATACTACCCTATACCTGAACAAAACGTTCCACGAGAGCTCTCCCCATGGGTATCACCCTACCACAGCTCCATTTGCTCCTGACACATCCACCAAAAGACACTTGAAATGCCGTAGAGAACTCTGGGTAAAGGGCCCTCCATCCCTTTCAGTCCAGACGATGCAGCTCTTTACACTAGCTCTACCTGCTCCTCTCCCCTTCCTTTGATGCCCTGTAGCTCCCTGCTCCTGCTGCCATCTCATTTTGGCCCAAGCAGTCCTGGCAATGGGGCCAGTCGCTGTCACATGAGTCAACTCTATGCTCACTGTCTCCTACTGCCCCTCTCTGTCTCTCCTACCTTCTGTCTTTCCCTCCCCAGAAGTTTCCAGAAAATCTTTTCGTCATCTGTTACAGTCTCTAATACTTATTTTCCAAATCCGTTCAGTATTGGAGGACTGCAATTACCTGATCCATCAGAGCGAGTCAAGTTAGGACCGGAGGATCCCCTCTTCCACAGACCCAGGACTACCCACTCTGACAGTGACCCTCCTCAGCAGAGCATGACTTTAGTGCCCCTGCCCCACATTTTTAGACCTTCTCCGAGTTAGAAATGATAGTCTCCTGCTGAAAGACTACACTTCCCAGCTTCCCTTGCGGACTGTGGCAGTCATTCCTGCCCTTGTATGAGGCAGCCTCTAATCTTTTCTAGACATTTTGGCCACCCTCACAGGTAGTTACCAAAGAACCTCCTCACTGTGGATCACTATGGTTCTCCTCAGGTCAGGTCAAGCTGCCCTTTCTCCTGCCTTCCATCTCCACAGCTGTGCTTCAATAGTCTAACGTGTGTGAGTTAGATTTTCCTACCGCCGCATTTTCATAACCTCTGTATTCCTTCCATGATCTTTAGACACTACAGTAGCATCCTGATTGCTTCTATTTCCTGGCACTATAAGGTTGGCTTGAATAAAACCATCATCACAATCAACTGTAGGAGTCATTGTGTTAACAACCCCAAGTCGAAGAAGTGAAACATCAGGGGTCCAAAAAGGACAGCGGAGAAGGCCTTGATCCTACAAGTGAAAACTTTGACAGCAAAGCAAGAGCAAAGAGATAGAAAACGGAGCAGACGTGAACTCTGGTGGCTCGGTGGAGGACTTGCAGTCATAACATCGTTCCCTGGTAGGTTATTTCATTGAGAAGGACAAATTAGGAGGGATTGCTTAAAAAGATTCTCCACTGACAGGTATCGGAGACAAAGTGAGCAAGGAAGAGCTAGGGAGGCAGAGCGAGAGAAGGAAGGGGAAATCCTTTCCTGTTGCTCTGTCGTGCTGACGTGAACTATAAAATCCCTCCTCATTCTCATCCCTAGGGCCTGGCTGACTCTTGCATCCTTTGCTTGAGGATTTTGTTTGTGAGCCTGACTTTCCAGTCTGCCTTGTTCCTTGGATCCGGATGCCTTTTTCCGGAGACATCTTGCTCCCACTCAGGCTGACTAAGCTACATTCTCCTTTGACTGTCAGATGTTTTCTTTGTTTCTCGGGGCCACGGTGTACATCCCAGTAAGCATCCTGGATTTGTGTTCACTCAGCCAGCCCTGGTCACCTGTCCAGCGCTCTGCACAGCAGGCACTTGCTATTATGGTCCACCGTAGAACTGTGTTGTGATTTTTTTTTCATATTAAGTGCTTTTTGAAGCAACCTCTCTATTACCTTTCCCAGTTTCTTAGCCACATTAATATTCCAAGGAGAAAAAAAGAACAGGTTGGATTTGTAGGTTATAACATTTAGTTATTGCCTTTTAACTTTACCATCAATGGCTATTGATTGCAATAATTCTAAAGCTTTCGTTCTTTTTTTAAATATGTAATTGTGATAGAGCAAGTACAGTTCCACCTGACATTTTAGAAGGGCCTCCAACTCAGTGTAGCAACGAACAGAGACAACTGAATAGCCTTAATAAGCTAAAAGAACAATGTTGTTCAAGTTAAGTGCGGGTCTCTGAGTACTTTTGGAAATGGCATCCTGTTTGGTCAAAGAAAGGGCATTCGAATAATAAAATGACACAGAGGCGATCAGCGGCCCTTATGTTCAGACCCTGCAGTTGGGGAGCATATGCAACTGTTGCCTGCATTAAAAATAATTTCAAAAAAAAAAAGTGATCAGTTCAAACTGGAGGCTTTTCTACAAGCCCCTGGAAAGAAAGTTGTCTTCGATGCCGGGTTTGTGAGGATGTAGTTCTATTTTTAATGGGATTATTTTATCGTTGCATTGTAAGTACTCTTTCAGAATCCTATTCCCTTGGAATAAATACAGAGTGTAGAGAAGTTGATGGGATAGCAAAGTCAGGGATAACCTTTGTTCGTGGATCCCCAGGGCTGCCCCCTTACACAGCTGTGAGGAATACATTGAGGGGCCTGACAGGTTGTATTTCTGTTAATACATCCACAGATCTGTTTACTGTTCATGGCTTCATTTGTGTGTGTGCGTTCGCATGTGCATGGGTTTCTGTGCCTTCATCCCATGCGTGGATGTGTGTTCTTAATACCACAACCACATGTAGGAACATCCTCTCGCCGCAGACTCTCGGAGCTGTCTCTACCTTCTCTCTGCCTCTGTCACCTGACAACCGCGAACCTGTTTTCTACTGTGATCTTCTCATTTGCAGAACATTATGTAAAAAGAATCACACAGCGTGTAAAATTTTGATCTTGGCTTTCCTCCCCCCCCCCCACACACACTGAGCAAAATGTCCTTGAAGCCGAATCCAAGTTATTACAGGCATTTCTAGTTCATTCCTCTTTATTTAATTACTTTTGAAGACTTTTCTTTTTAAAATGGTTGATTTTTTATTAGCTCGTGTGATGTATGTGTGGCGACCTGTGGACAATCTCATGAGTCGACTCTCTCCTTTCATCTTTATGTGTGTTCCTAGGAGTGATTTGAAGTTGCCAGGCAGTGGTAAGCCATCTTACAGGCCTTGCTGTGCTCTTCTCTGCTGGGTGGTTCTGTGAGGTGGGCGTTGCTGGGGTTTCTGTAGCTCTTCTGCGACTGGAGGATGACTCAGCTGTCCTGGATATTAACTACGAAGGAGAAGCTACTGTGAGCATCCATGTGCAGGGTGTTACGTAAGTTTTCATTTCTCTGCGTAATTACTAAAGAGTTGAAAGATGTCAGAAGATGAATTTGTGTCTAGTTTTGTGAGATACTAAGTATTCCTTAAAGTTTCTGTGACAGTTTACGCTTCTGTCAGCATGGAAGAGCGCCATTTTCACCAGTGATTGAACTATCATTTTAAAAAATATTTTAGCCATCTGAATAGGTGTGTTATCTACTTCTAATTTCATTGTGTCATCCCCCTAAATAATGTCCCAGCAGCCGTCTGACCTGAGTAAGGTCTAACCACCATTAGGTCCCAAATCATTCACCAGCAGGTTCAGATCAATATGCAAAACAGAAAGGTCAAATACTAGGTAAGCCAGGATATTCCAGCAAAACCAATACCAAACCTTGCGTCTGAGATAGAAAAGATAGGACCTCAGTCCTAGACACTCACAGTGCTAAAAAAAAATCATTTCCTAAAGAAGAAAATTGTTTTTGTTTGTTTATTTGTTTCCTTTGGAGGGGCAACTTTGGAAGAACTCCCCTTTGAGAAATAAAGCATTGACATTGTTCTTAGTTGATAGCTGACATTCTTATACTTGAAAAAACGTAGCATTTACATTCTAGGTAGTGAAAGTAACCTGGGAAACACAGTTGTATGAAAAAGTTAGTTCGTGGAAGTAATATTTTTATTTTGTGTTGATTTCTGATTTCTCCTTGTATAAGTCCTTTGCAAATATTCATAGTCCTGTATTAAGAATTTCAAATATTGCCAGGTGGTTGTGGTGTACACTTTTAATCCCAGCTCTCAGTGTACAGAGGCAGGTGGATCTCTGTGAGTTTGGGGCCAGCCTGACCTACAGAATGAGTTCCACAGCTGGCTCCATAGCTACTTAAGAACCCTGTCTCTAAAAATCAAAATAATAATAATAAATAATGATAATGAATTTTAAATATTAAGGAGAAAGCAAAAACCAATTTCCCTCCTGTTATCTGCACTCTTGAGATTTTGGCATGAACTCTTTCATACTGGTTTGACCCTATGTGAACTGATTCAGCTTGTGTGATGATGGATATAAACTACATTTTATATTTAGCACCATCAGACAGCTAATGAACTGGGGTCCTTACTGGGTGACAGAAAAGCGAACAAAGCAAAACAGGAGTCCTGGCTTTCTGATTCTCACACCTCATGGCTTTACTGATAGAGTTGGGTTCTTTGGAATATTACAAAGAATACAAAAAGATTATAGCAATGGATGGAAAAATCCTTTATTTATAGCTGGTTATGTCTGTCAAATGTCACAGCAATAATTCTCGGGTTTTATGAATCAGATTTGAAGTATATAAAATACTCTCAACGCTGCAATAGAAATTTTAGGTTCTTAACGTATACATGATTTCTGTTGCTGCACCAATATTCATGCATTGAAGCTCATATCAATAATTCCTGTAGTAGCTGGTATAAAGTAAGACTTCTGCCTAAAATATGAAACAAGGAGGAAAACATGTGAAAGACATAGAACAGAATGCACACACAGTGAGTGCGCTCACACGGACATGCCTGGTGGATGCAGAATGACACAGCCAGCATAAACAAACACATCTGTCCTTTGCTTCCACGGACAAACCAGCTAACGAAAGCGAACCATTTAACTAAAAAGAATCTGTTTTTGAGTAGGAGCTGGTGCCATTTCCGCTCTTTCTGCTGCACAGTCCTGCGAAAAGATGAGACGTGTCTACTCACGATCTTGATATATATTAATTAATATGTATAGAGACACTAACATTTCCTCTCAAGCCTTTAAATATGATCGACTTACCTTCAGGCTAGTTTTCATGTTAACTAATTTTAATTATAATTTTTCAACATCCAATAACCTGTGAGTATGCTTTATAGTAAATCCAGGGGAATTTTAATTTGCATAGGCATTAAGGGAACACGGTGAAAGGGGGGTTGATGAAGGGCTCTGGGCTCAGAACTGGGAAATGGGGATTGACAGGGAGACTCCTGAAGAAGCTGTGCAGTGGATGCCTTCAGGCAAGAACGGGTTGCTAGAAGCATCACAAAAATGCAGGCTAAAAGGGTGACAAATGGGTCTCTTTGCTGAAGGAATTATTAGAGGGAGGGGAGTGAGGAAGCGAGGGAGAGAGAGAACTTTTTAGAACGCTGGAATGTAATAATAATTCAAAAGCTTACAGAAAGGTGTTTAATGGAGAAAGAGAAGGGTGTTTGATGGAGAAAGAGATGGGCTCATCTAAAATAAAGCAGGCAATGCGAAACCCCAAGTCTTTAGGAATTTAAAAGCCTGAAATCACACAAAATATCTTCTCTGACCATAGTGGAACTGAAGCTGGGGATCAATCACAGGAAGCAGACTGGGAAAGGGACAGGGGTGGAAACAGTGTGTTCCAACACAACAGTGCGGAACAAGGAGATGGCCCAGAAATCAGAAACTACTTAGATGAATGGATATCAAAAAGCAACGTGCCCAGACATACAGCCATAACTGCCTAGGTGCCAAAAGAAGATCTCAAATCAATATCTCTACTCTATATGTTAAAGGAACAAGAAAGAGAAAAGAAAGCTAAACACAAAGCTTGCAGAGCAAACAGGATAATAGAGACTACTAACAACGTAATTAAAGGAGCAATCAGGAATGACAGGTTTTGTACAGACAACGCAAGTAGCCAGGCCTTCGGTCCAACTGAGAGCAAACAAACATGAGAAGGAATGAGTGACGAATATCAAAAATGAAAGCAAGAGTATGATGATCAGGGTGGTGGAAATAAAAGAAGAAATTCAGGTCTGGGGCGTGGCTCAGCAGTAGAACACATACTTAATATAGACGTGGTGTAGGCACAGTTCCTAGTCCAGGTCCTGGGCTCTATGCTTAGTGGTGGATAATGATGAAACCATTCACAGCTGGATCTGTAGGAGGAGGAACAGAAGTCCCTATATTGTCCATCTACCCAGAACTTCCAAATAAGATGTGAGCACAAAGATGAGGACGGATATGACATCACACTTGATCACTGTCTGCATATCCAATGAGATAATCCTACAGAGAGACAGAAAGGCTTCCACACAGAAATGGTGATGGGAATATTGAGGCAGGGATGGGCAACAATGGAGTTAAAGCCAGAATTCCTAGAAACTCATGAACCCCACACCATTATAGATGCCTGTCATAAAAAGGAGAGGACAGAGCTTCTTTTCCTGTGGATGTGAGAACTTGGAAACTAGAACATTAATGAAGGAATGTAAGAAGTACAGGGACCTTGGAACCAAGGAGTAAACATGCAATTCTGCACATTTATGCCTAGTTTCACTGCCAAGAATAGTAACATACCATCCCAGAAGGTGTCCATGAATGTAGCAGGAGCATTTTCTAATAGCCCCAAACCAAAAACAATCAAAAACATACATCAACTGATTGATTAACGAATAGAAACTCGAATGCCCATATGTAGCTACTAAAAAATTACATTTTAAAATATGCAGCATTATGGATGAAATTTGAAACATTATGTCGATTTACTGAAGATAGTCATAGAGGAGCATATATTACTTGAAGGCTAAAGCCTTCTTAAAATGTCAGCCACAACTGATGTCAGCCCTGTCATTCCAAATTTGAGAAGCTAAGCAAGGAGAAGAAAACAAGTTCAAGGCCTGTCTGGGTGTCGGAGCAAGGTCATTGTCAACCTAGTGGGACCTTGTCTGTTAAAATTCTGCTGTCCTGCCCTGTCACCTGGGTACACTGTCCCTTTAAGAGACAAGCCACTCACTCCCAATCTCCTCTTTCCCACCAAGGTCTTTATTCTCTCTCTCTCTGACCCCTCTTCTTCTGAAGAGACAACTTCTGCCTCCTTCCTTCCCCCTCCTCTTCCCTCTCTCTCTCTGTCCCCACTCCCCCAACCATACCCTCCCATACCCTCCCAATACCCAATAAATAAACTCTCTATACTCAAACTCTCTCAGCATCGGGCTGTCTCACACCTGCTACTGTTTCCCACCCTCCATGGGACCTGCCAGGGTCGCTCTCATGTAAATCATAACACTGTCTCAAAACAGTAACAGTTAAAAAAGGTTAGGGATGTAGGTTAGTGGAAGGAAGCTTGCCCAGCATGAGCAAGAAGTAGTGCTTAATTTAAGGAAACGAAGAAGAGAAAGGAAAACAAACAAACAAACAATAACCCTACAGAGTGGGTTAATCCATGCAGACAATGAGAAGCCTAGCAGGGCTTGGGGCTGGACAGTGATTGCTAGTACATGTAAATTGTCCTTCCAGGGACGAAAATGTTCCAATTTAGTTTGCAGAAACAGTCATGTCAGTCAACATGGCAAATATATTAAAAACTCTTGACATCTTCCCTTGAAATGGATGAACGTTTTGGCATGTAAGCTGTGCCAACCAATGTATTTGGAAAGGGAATAAAATAAACACCTACAACAAATGCATTCCTACCGCCATATTCGTGGGTGGCAAAGGATTCAGGAGTGGGCATTTCACTGCGTGGTAGGTGCTAACCATAAGGAAGGTCCAGGTACACAGCACACGGCACACAATAAGAAAGAGGTTCAGAGCCAGTGTCACTATTCTATCATCAGTCAGAGACCACGTTTAGACATATGACTACCCATAAATATTTTAAAAGTTAACTTTAAACTATGTGATAACAATCATATCCTATATGCAGGATTATATGAGTGATGCAATTACAGCAGGTGACCATATGAGATTTCCATGCATCATTTATTTCAGACGATTCTCCCTCCTCGTCTTACTGCACACTCTCCCCTCCCTGCTGTACCTTTGTCTCAGAAAGCCACCTATCATTTCAAATTGCAACTATGGTTCTGCATGTGTGTGAGGGCGTGGACATGCTTGCGTGGGCTGTGTGTATGCATATGCCTCTGCAAGCCAGAGATTGTTGTCTGGTGTCCACCTCAATCTACCTTTCTTTCTTTCTTTTTTTAAATACTTAGTTTTTTTTTTTATGTATACAGTGTTCTGACTGAATG